CCTCCCCCTGCCAGCCACCCCCAAGTCTCCAGCCACAGTCTCTGCCTGCACTAATTAGCAGCCCAGCTGAGAAATCCTAGAAAGATCTCTAGCCCAGATGCCATCAAGGAGGGGGTAGACCAGGTGACCCCGAGGTCCTTTTGCTGCACTGACCTCTCTTTCTGCAACACCCCCAACTCCCGGTGAATGCAGACGCGCACACACACATTGATTCAGCAAATACGTTGAGCACCTGCTTTGTGCTAGGAACATCGTCAGCCCATCTCTCTAAGTGGAGTGCGGAGATTACAGGTTTTTGAGCCAGGATTTGAATCTGAGGGCCACCATTTATTAACTCTCCTGTCTGCCAGCCTCGCTGCTGTCCCAGTGCCACACTCTGCTCTGATGAGACAGAGGAGCAGCACCCTTGCCCTTCGAAGAGTTCTCTGCTTCCACACCTGGGACCCCGAAACAACACACCCCATCCTATGGCATTGTTTTGGGGCACAGCAGAAGTAGACTTTGTGGGAAAACTCATGTCAAGGGGCCCTGCTGTCACTGCTGCCTCTGGCCCTGGCTCCTACAGGAGCCTGATCCACCCTGCCCCTGCCCCCAACCTAGTCAGGCCCCAGCGGCTGCGTCCAGAGCTTCCCGCAGCTGACGCAGATCCCCTCATGAAGGGTCAAGGGGCAGCCAGAGTGTGGCTGGGGGAGTGCCCCTCCCCTGTTCCTGTCCTAGAGGAGAACTAGGGGTGGTGCCCCCAAGAAGCAGCTGCCTCCACCCTGCTATGGGCAGAACAGCAGGCCAGCCCCTAGGCAGGCCCTCCTTTAGAAGGAAGGGGACCCCTGGAGCCTCCTTTAGAAGGAAGGGGATCCCTGGAGCCCGCTCTTCCTGAATGTCTTGCCGCTCTCCTGCTTCATTTCTCCTGAAAGCTGAGTCCATCCACATTGGGCAATTGCAAATGGTTTACATGGGGAATGTCAGCTGCCCACATAGGAAAACACACACATCATTAGGCCTAAGTGCTTGCGTCTGGAGATAGCGCGGACGGCCTCCCGAGCTGACCTTTTGTCCACTGACGGAGCCGCTGCTAATGAGCGCTGAGCTCCTCGTGGGATGTTTTCATATGTTGAAGCAAAGCATATGTTGGCCATTAGCCTCTGTGGGGTGGGGGCGGGGGCGTACGTAGGGCAGCTACACGTAGAGTTTGCTGAAACACAGCAACCACTGCCCCTGGCCCTCCAAGGAGGGCTTGCTCGGGCCACAGACACCCCCTTGTGCTGCCTGAGGACTGTGGCATCCTGGGAGACACAGTGGCACTTAGGGATAAAGCTGACCAGGTTGCCTGAGTTTGAATCCTGCAAGCTGTGTGGCCTTGGGCAAGTTACATAACTCCTCTGAGCCTTTCCTATAACTGTAAAATGGAGGCAGTAATAAAATCTACCTTGAGAGGGGGTTGGGTGGAAGGTCCCACCCAATCAGGGACCATCCTGGGTGAGGTTGTACTGGAAGTGGGCCCTGAAGCCAGGGTGGGAGTTGGATGTGCCAGGCTGGGGCGGGAAGGGCTTCTTCCCAGGACATGAGCAAATGCCCAGAGGCTGGAAAGTGGAGCTTGCCCAGGAAATGGTGGGTGTGGAGGCAGAGCTTGGGCAAGCAGTGGGCAGGAAGGGGAGGCAGGTTAGGAAGGGCATCTGGGGCCAGGTCCAAGAAGGTCTTCAACTTGGCCTCTTGGTGGCAGGGGCCCCTGATGCTGCATGGGGAGAAACTCCCAGGGAGGCCATTGTGTCGAATGCAAGAGCAAGTGGTAAGCAGAGCATGGCAGGCCCTGTGAGTAGTCAGGCAAGAGAAAAGCATCCTTGAAACCAGGCAGTGAGTGGGATGGAGAGGAAGCCAAGGGTGTGGAGACTCCAGGCTAAGATAGCCGTGTGCACACTCCTGCCTGGAAAGGGGCACAGATGGGCCCCGCTTTCCTGCTCATTTAACATTACCTGGATGGTCCTCCTCCCGCTGAGATGCTCCCCCACTGCTCCTGCTCAGTCCAGGCTCCAGGCCTTTGCCCTTGCAGTTCTTTCGCCTGTTCAAATCCCACCTATCCCTCAGGGTCCAGGGCACCTTCCGGACTGATCTCTCATTTGTCCCCTGAACTGTTCTTGCAAAGGCCACGCTCCTTGCGCCTGAGATGCCTCACCTGTGATCATTCGGGAGTGCCATCTGGCCTCCCTGCTCTTTGGAGCCCGGGAAGCTGGTCTACCTGTGGGGTGTCTGGGCCTCCAGGCACAGTAGCAAGGGCCTCCATGGCGCCACCTTGTGGACGGACTTCAGGGCTGGAGGCGACTGGATGGCAGGGCTGGGGTGGGGTCTGCTCCCCGCCTGCCCTGGCGGGTGTTGGTGTCCCTGGGAGGCAGAGCACGTGCTTCGCGGGCCAAGCACTGAAAAAGGCACCCTCTGGGGTGGCTTCATGCCCACGCCAGGACTGTGTCTTCCCCTCACCGTACCGCCCTCAGCTGCCTCAGCACAGGTAGCCTGGGAGGAGTCACAGGAGGCTCTTGTGAGGCTGCGGTTATGACCAGGGAGTGGGCAGCTCTGAGCAGTGGCAGCCCCGAGGGTGCTGGGCTGGGACGGTTCCTGCCTTCCCGTGAGTCATGTCTGCGCTCCCGAGTCACTCCAGATCTGGCATGTGTGCTGACCCAGACCATGCATTCGCACTCCAGAACAGGTCCTCAGTGCTGCAACCCCCCAGGCTGCCTCCCCCCAGCGCCGCCTGTAGCATCTCAGGCCTCCGTGTGCTCATTAGTTTCCGGCTAGGGCTGTGCTCACGTTTGCGGAGCAGAGGTGAGCGTTCTGGCCTCGGTCAGGGTCAGGGGCCCTGAGTACCTGATTGGGGGGTGGAGGAAGTAGCGAAAGGAAGGAGAGGAACTGAGATAGGAAAGAAGGTGCGCAGCCCACTTTCAGGGGCCCGAGCCCACTTACTCTGGGTGCCTAGGGACATCCCACGTGGCCTCCATCTCTGGCTGCCTTACAAGGCGCATTCTGGTAATGGACCAGGAGCCACATCCCAGAACCTGTGGCAGAAGTTTCAGGAGCAGCAGAGTCTGGGCCTCAAGGGAAGGCAGAAGGGAGGCAGGTGTGCTGAGAGAGGCCACGGTGCACTGCCCAGTCTGTCCCCGGCCCCTTCCTAGTGCCACCCCAGCCCCTCTGGTTCAGGAGAGCAGTTTCTCGTTTTACAGGCGGAGATGCAGCAGCTTTTCCCCCTTCAGGCAAGGGAGGCTTTTCTGCAGAGGCCTGCCTGCCCCTCCTCTTGGTCTTTTGCTGGCTTACCCCAGGTTCAAGGTCATTGAAACATCCAGCAAGCCCCATCCTGAGCCAGGCACTGGCCCTTCGGACCAGAGCTGCCCAGCCATCAGCTCTTTTCCAGAAGCAAATTTGCTCCTGGCCCTGGGGGTTGTACCCAGATCTGGTTGTTCTGAAGGAGCCAGAGTCATTGATCTCCAAAAATTTCTGGAAAGTTCCTCAAGCCTTAGAAGCAACCATCAATTTCCCAAATCTGGGACTCTTATGTGACCCTGGAGCATTCCCTTCCTGCTTCAGAGGAGGTGATGGGGGGTGCAGAACCTCTACGGTGCAGAGGGGACTGGCACCCGGCTCTGCTTCTTGGTCAATGCCTCCTCCTGCTCCTGCAAGCAGGTTTTGTCTTTTATGCAAAAGAGAAGCCTATGCTCCACAGGTGGCCCCTCTGCCTCTCATTCATCAGGTTTCTACTCAGGAGGGAGCGTGGGAGGGAAGGTGGGAAGGAGCCAGGACTGGTGCTAGCAAAGCCATCAGGAGATGTGTTCTGAGCCTGCTGCTTGGTGTAGCTGCTTTGCCCACACTTGGGTGTGTGAGAAGCTGTGCCATCACCGCGAGGGCTCCCCCAGTCCTGAGGCCTCTCCTACCCAGGGTCTGGGAGCCTCCGAGCCCCACTCTGGAGGAGGCCTTAGGGCAGGGTGGCCTGGGGAGGGGGCGGGGGAAACGTGGGCATTCAGAATAGTAGGCAATAGAATATGAGCCTCTGATTTCATCCGCCAGAGCCACACCAGGCTGTTACTGTGGGCCCCCCTCACCCCCAAGATTGAACCCCCATAGACAGTACCACTGCACTTAGTAGAGTGGCCAGCCCATAGCCATTTTCTGATATCTGGGAAGAGAAAGAAAACCTTTCAGATTCAGTCAGAAGGCTGAAGAAAGAGTCTCTCTGAGCTGCTGCTGGCAGTTTTCTCAAGTATCCCTGTAATTTGTTAAAACTCCCCTCCTGGGCCAGCTGCGGAGTGAACAGCTGGCTGAGGGGGTGGAGTGGGCGAGCCTGCCTCCCCAGAGGTGGACACCCTTTGGAATAGTCCTTTCAAGACTGGAATGCTCCACTCAGCCTAGACAGAGAAGGAAATGACGCTTGCAGATGTGTGTGCTTCCTACTGCGCGCTGAACGCGGGCCTCTGTCCTGCGTCGGTTTGTTCCGGGAGAAACCGGGCCTGACCACAATGAGGCCGAGGTCTAGACCCAGACCCGCCACTGTGGGTGGTATTCATGGGCTTGGAACCCGTGTCTGCTGTGCCGAAGCCCTACCCCAATATCCACCCTTCCCCGCTGCCAAGTGTCCCTTCACTCACCCCTCTGCCCATTTCAGGCCTTTCGTTCATCACCTAGCGTCTGGGCAGCTGTTAACCCACGTCCACCCTCTGAGGACACAGCATGGCTAAGGCACGTGGGCCAGCTGGGACGGGTTCCCCGGTGGGCCGAGTTGCCAGCCTCTTACACTCAGGGCACTTGGCACCCCCTTCCCTTGTGATCACGTGCTCGCTTGGGATGTGGGGACATCCTTAGTGACCTTTGCAGATGGGGGCATCGGGGCTCGGGAGCCAGAGGCCTGCCAGAGGCCATGGCAGGGACACAGCACCACCTCCAGGCACTATCAGGCACTGTGGGGGTGGGAGAGCAGATGGCACCCTCCACCCCTTGACACCACCGCTTCTCTCCCCCCACCCCAGTCCCCAGTGTTCATCACCCAAGTCGGCCAGGACCTCGTCTCCCAGACGGAAGAGAAGCTCCTGCAGACGCCCTGCAAAGAACTCTTTGCTGCCTGTGCACAGTAAGTGCCCTGGGGCTGCCCTTCACCCCCAACCTGGAGCCCTGGCAGCCAGGATGGGTCTTCAGTGGCCAAGGGCCCAGCAGCTGTTTGGATGGTTTTCATGAAGGGAGAGAGAACAGGTGCCAAGTCCAGAGAAAATCCCTGCTTCGCGGGTGTTGAAGCGGCAGCTCTCCAGGCCCTCTGGGATGGGGGAAGGTTGGACATGCAGCCCAGGCCCCCAGCCCCACCAGGGTGCCACCAGCTGGAGCAGGTGGCTCTGCTGCAGGAGGGGCCACAGGCTGGCTGCTCCTGAGCCACCCCCAGCACCTATCTGCAGGCCCTGCAGGGACCTGGATGGAAGGTGAGCCAAGTCGGTGGGAGCGGTGCCAGCCGTGCCCAGCGCAGCCCCCACCACCCCACTCATACTGCATGGGCGTGCACAGCAGGCACTGCCCTCCTGCCCCTCGGGGGACCCCCAGGTTTGCATTCCCAGTCTGGGGAGGATGAGGCCGAAGCTGACCTGGCTGTGCCGCCCACCAGCCGACACTGGGTTATAATTCACCCGCCTGTTCCCTCTGAGCCAGGTCTGTCCACGACTACCTGAGGGGGGAGCCCTTCCACGAATACCTGGACAGCATGTACTTCGACCGCTTTCTCCAGTGGAAGTGGCTGGAGAGGTAAGTGCTCCCCACGAGCCCCCCATGCAAGAGCGTGTGCCACCGTGTGTGCATGTGCATGCATGTGTGTGTGCAGTGTGTGTGCGTGTGTGTGCAGGGGCTGGGGGTGCAGGCTTTTCACCTGAGCCATCATATAAAACTGTTACCTCCCCTGGGTCGCAGATTCAGACAACACGAACCGCCCGCCTCCTGTTACCAGGTTGTCGTGTGTGCCTCCAGAGCAGCCCATGGTGCACTCACACTCACACTCACACTCACTCTCCTACACACGGCATCCCGGCCTTACTTCACTGTTTCCCTGCCCTCGGGGATTCTTGCTTGGCCATATTCTTTGAAGGCGTTCAGGAGCCTGTATCCCAGCCCCCCGGGGCAGGACGGTGCGGGCGCTCCTCCTTACAGAACGGGCAGCTCTGTAGTTCCCTGCAGCCATCACAGGGAACTTTGGCAAGGACATCCATGGAAGTTCCTAGAAGAGGGATTTGGGGTCAACGAGCACCGGTTTTAGACTGAGAACTGTCCCTCCTGCACGGCTGGCTGCCCCCACTTCCAGGCTTGCCACGCCAGCGCCTGCTCCCCTCCGCCACGTCAGCACCGGCGGCCGGTCGGGACCTTCTCGTTTGCTTTTCACCTCTGACAGCAGGCGACCCCGAGGGCCTCCGTGTGCTCAGAGCTGCCTCAGCAAACACTTTCACGTGCAGCCTGTGTCTCCCTGGGAGGAGAGACTAAGGACGTGGTTTGCCTCGTCCCCCAGCAGGCCAGGAGCGCGGCCCCAGGAGGACCCTGCCCAGGCCAGGAGCGCGGCCCCGAGAGGACCCTGCCCAGGCCAGGAGCACAGCCTCTGGCACAATGCTTTGCCAGCCTACAACACCCAGGGTCGCAATACAGGGCAATGCCTGCCTTAGCCAGCATGGGGCCAGGCTGGCATGTGAGGGTGGGAGCAGCCCCTTCCCGAGCCAGGGCTCCCTGTACCCCGAGGCCTGCACTCACGCCATCTGGGCAGGCTGCAGGGAGGGAGCCAGGAGCCAGCCTCACTGCACGTACATCAGCACCTTTGCTGGTCACACTCCCTGCAGATGCTTACAAGGCTGCAGGACCCCTAAGAGTCCCGTTCGTGACCCATCTCTGCTCACTCAGGAAGCCAGAAGGAAGCACCTTGCTTTGCAGGGTAGGAGAATGGTGGGGGGTGACAGGAGGCCAGTGCACATACACAGGCTCCAGGAGAGACATAGGAGGGAGGGCAGCTCCACATGAAGCCCCTAGACCTGGAGCCCGCCGCCTGGCTTATTGGCCGAGCCTGCAGGCAGCTCGTTGTGTCCCTCAGAAAAGCCTGGCCGTTCTCATCTGCAGAATGAGAGCGTAATCAGCCATCCTCCCGAGGCTCGTGGGAGGAGCAGAGGACAGATGCTGGGGCGGTGGGGGTGTCACCCCAGAGACCCCCAAGGGCTTGGCCTTTATTCCAGAATGCAATTAAGGACTTCTGACGCCCACACGGCCGCTTACAGAGCGCAGGCCTCTCCAGTGTCTCCATTTTATTGAAGAGGCGGGGCTCAGAGAGGCTGTGGGCTCCCCTTGGTCACACAGCAAGGTCGTGCACTCAGACCCCTGTCCCGCAGCCCAGCACTGCTGTTCCCACAGAAGCTTGGGGTTGTGGCCACAGGTTTCCTTTTACTCTCTGAGGCACATGGAGAAACGGCTTTTTAATCCATGTGCTGACTGCAAACAAGTCCCGCCCTTGGGAGGGCCTGAGGTGGGCGGGAGGCAGGGCAGGACCTGGCCTGGAAATGCCCTCGCTGACTGACAGCACCCCCTCTCTTTTTCCAAACAAAATCCTGGCCTGTTGGTGCTGCACTGTTGAAATAGTAAAGGGATCTTTCCCCTCCCAAGGTTAACCAAGAAATTCCTGGGAAATTGTGTTTCCCTCATTTCCCCTCGCAGAGGAGCTCTGCGGTCACGCCGACCGACTGTTTGTTCTCCGTGTATCGCCAGCGCAGGCCCCGCCGCCTTCATGTGGTTTCCCGGGCAGCTGCAGGGACGGCTTCCCGGGCTGCAGGCGAGGCCGCGCTTGGCAGGTGTTCTCTCTGCGGCCTGGAGCAACGGAGAGCCCTGCAGAGGGGGCCGGGCGCTGTCACCCCGCTTCCTAAGGAAGCACCAGGGAAGGGAGCGTGCGTCCCACACATGACTTCCACACGGGCTGCCAGCGGGCCTTGGGGGTTTCAAGGCTGTCCTAAGAGAACAGTGTGGTGTTGAAGGTGTGATTTCCCAGGAAACCCAGATCCTCCTTGGGACCCAGCAGCGAGACGAGCTTCCGTGGAGATGCATTCTCAGGCTGCTGGGTGGCCAGAGGCTCGCTGGCCTTGTTCAGATTCCCTGAGGTGGAGTGGGGTGGAGTTGGGAGATGCCCAGGTGGTCCCTGAGATCCAAGAGCCAATTTTTAACATCCCGTCCGTAACAGTTAGGTTGTTCCCACATCTGGGCAATTGTAGATACCGCTGCAGTGAACACAGGAGTGAAGACTTGTGCTTATGCTTACACAGTAGCTTCTCACTTCATGCTGCCCACAGGTTTTTGGAAACAGCATCTTTATTTTTTTTTCAAAGATTTATTTATTTACACAAGAACTGGGGTACAGGCGGATGTGCGGGAGGGTGAGAGACTTCACCAGAGACAGAGCAGGGAGCAGACAGGCAGACAGACCAAACACTGAGGACACTGCTGAGGGGAGCAGCAGACTGAGGACCAAAGACACTACTGAGGGGAGCAGCGGGCGAGGCAGGCCATGTGGGATCTCCCCCGCTGGCCGGGAATCAAACCCGCACTGCAGAGGCTGTGGACAGCTTCACAGCGCTGCACTCAACCCACTGTGCCACCAGGGAGGCCTGGAAACACCATCTTTAATGTGAAATGACGTGCATGTATCAAAAATGCATCCTCCAATAATGTCGTTTTGTTCAGCCTTGGCTGTTTTTTTTTTCTCCTCTCATCAATATTATAACAAAAGGACATTGAATAAAATGGTGTTATTTGACAACACACACACACATTCACACCCCCGGTGGAATATTACTCAACCTTCAAAAAGGAAACCCTGCCACTTATGACAACATGGATGAGCCTGGAGGACATTTGTTAAGTGAAATAAGCCAAGCACAGAAAGGATCTGCGTAGTCGCAATTCTATGTGGAGTCTGCAGTAATGACACGAAGCAGAGCGTAGAATGGAAGGTGTGGGGTGCCCGCAGGGATGCGGGGTGCCTGGAAGGGATGAAGAGCTGGGGCGATGTTGGTCAAGGGATACAAAGTTTCACTTGTGCAAAGTGAATAAATTCTGGAGATGAAATGTATGCCAGGGGGACTAGAGTAAACAGCTCAGTGTTGCATACCTGAAATTTGCTAGGAGGGTGGATCTTAAGGAAGAGAGAGAGAAGACGGGAGGAAAAGGAGATGTTAGTTGACAAAATGTTAACGACTTGATTGTGGGTGTTAGTTCACAGAGATCCATGTAGCAAGACACCAACTTGTAGGCTATTTGTCAATTATACGTCAACAAAGCGGGGGATGTAGGGTGAGGGAAACCAGAATATTCTTAGCGGGCAGTGAAGCTGTCTGCAGCCAGAGCCCTGGTCTGCAAGCACATCGCTTATTCCTTTGCTCCCCAAAGCCCCGTCCTTGCTCGTGATGCCAGGTCCTGTCTGGTCAGACATCGTGAGATGGGCTCTGTCTAATCACCATGAAACCAATGTTGGATTCTTGCTTTTTTCCAGGCAACCAGTAACCAAAAACACTTTCAGGCAGTACCGAGTACTAGGAAAAGGGGGATTTGGGGAGGTGAGTGACTGTCCACGTCTTCAGTGGGGTGTTCCCACACTCTGGTCACCTTTTCTGGCCCTTTTGTCCCCGCTAGATTGGCCGGTAGTGTCTGAAGCGGGTGCCCTGAGCGCCCCCTGGTGGGGAGGGAGGATGCAGCTCAGGGCCTAGGGACCCTCGGGTTGTCTCAGGTGGGACAGGAGGGTGTGGAGCAGTCCTGGCGGCCTGGGGCCAGGCAGGTGAGACAGGGGTGTCCTTGGAGCCCGCCTCAGGCAGGGTTGTGAGTGGGGGAAACTGAGGACAGGAGGCCACTAAGGCACTTGGCAGGATGCAGCCCTTATTAATAAGCCCTATTGTCCTTTCTCTGATCTCGGCCACAGTGAGGCGAACTTAGTTATTCCCAGTTTAGAGATGAGGAAAGTTGAATTTCAGAATGGTCAGGTGACCAGCCTGCATCACACAGCTGATAAAGGGCAGAATTACCATCAGAACCTAAAGGCTCTGATACCCCTTCCTCTGAACTGTAGAGTCGGGGTTCTCCCATAACTGCACCCCACCCCCACCCAGACAAGCCTCTCCTACCAGCAGCTGGTGCTTGAAAGTCCCAGTTAGCATGGCTGTGTCTGACTGGAAACTAAGGACAGAGAAAGCCTAGTTGCCTCTGAGTGGGCTGGTATCTCAGGCCTCCGCCTGGGCCTAGATGGCTGGTCCTGTCCGTTCAAGCTGGGGTTTGCCCAAGGGCTGGAGGAGGAGGGGCGCTGTGGCACTGGAGCCAGATCTGGAGGGCCTGGCCCTGGTGGTCTGTCCTGGGGCTGGGAGCCCCCTCAGGCGCGGGCAGACCTCATGGGGCTATGCCTGGCTTCCTTCTGCCCCCAGGTGTGTGCCTGCCAGGTTCGGGCCACCGGGAAAATGTACGCCTGCAAGCGCCTGGAGAAGAAGAGGATCAAGAAGAGGAAAGGCGAGTCCATGGCGCTCAATGAGAAGCAGATCCTAGAGAAGGTCAGCAGTCGGTTTGTGGTGAGTGTCCAGGGCCCAGTGACAGGCCCCCCTCTGGTGACCGGGGCTCCTGGGAGGCGGGTCCCCACACCCCAGGGAGTGCCGTGCAGGGAGAGGGGGGCATGCAGGAAGGCAACCCACCAGTCCCTCCATCGACAGGCCCCAGGGCTGCCTTTGTCCTGGAGTGGAGGCTGCCGGGCTCCTGGCTATGTGCTCACTCAGTGGACACAGCACACCAGCCTGGGGCCAGTCCGGAGCTCTGTGCACAGACTCCATGTGCTGGTTGCACCTCAGTCACTGGGAGCCCAGCCTGGGTGGGTCGGTGTTGTCCGTCTGGGCTGCGCTCCGCTGCAGTAACAGATGACCCCAGGCCCACATTAGTGGAAGCCACAGGCTGCTCTCACACGGAGACCAGTCGGGTCTCCATCCTACACCTGCCCCATCTGGAGTCTCCAGAGTGAGCGCTGCTCTTGTCTCCAGCCCCTGGGCCAGACCAGTCCCTGCCAGGCCAGCCAGCCATGGGGTCTGGGAGGTGGAGGGCATGGGTGTCCACTCAGCTCCCACGTCCTGAGTGGCCACTCCCAGGGCCGACTTCACGTAGAGTGTCCATCACTTTCCGCCCTGGGGTCTTTACATCCTGCGCTACAGCCCCTTCAGCAGTGAGCCTTTTTCGCTCCCCAGATCTACCTGCGCCTCTTTGTGGAGCTGTGCATCATTCCTTCCCTGTGTGGCCCTGTCCCCCACACACACTGTCCCGGGTTGGGTCACTGGAGGCAGGGGCAGTGCTGGCTGGTGACGCGGGCCCTGCTTCGGGGAAGGGCCGTGTGCCTGGCAGTGCACCTTCTGGGGCCACCTGGGCAGGTGTGCTGGGGCTGTGAGGGGCTGGGCACCAGAGCCCTGCCTTTGGAAGGTGGCTCTCTTCCTCAGTACCCACTGCTCGTGTGTTTTGCAGCCAGCTTGGCCCCTGCTGGGTTCCTGAGGCCGATGTCATGAGTGCCCGCTCCCCAAGTGGGGAAGGACAGACACTGCCCCGTGACCCTGCCTCAGCACCGCCAGCGCTGCCCGCCTCTCCCCCCACCCAGCCTTCCCCATCCCCTGGCACCGGTCTCCACCCCAAACCCCCTCTGTGACGGTCCCTTTGAGCAGCATGTCCGCACGCAGCCGTCCTGAGGCCCAGTCGACGGACCCCCGGCCCCTCCCTAGCCCATTCCCAGAATCCCGAGTCCTCAGCTGGAAGGCATGGGAGGTCAGCACAGACAAGTCTGTCACGGTGCCTCCGTGGGCAGGGTGCTGCCAGCCTGTCCACCCATTGCCTCCTTGCCAGGACCCCCGAGTTGGAAGGGGTAATCTCTTCAGCCGTCAAGAATGGGCAGCAGGCTGAGCAGCGGAGGCCGTCTGGGTGCAGCAGGTGCTGCAGCCCACAGCGGGTCTCCCCTCACCCTTAAGCCCCCCGAGGAGGAAGAGCTGACGCGGTGGCAGTGGCCGCGGTGTCCCATGAGCTCTTTTGTGCTCCCAGGTCAACCTGGCCTATGCCTACGAGACCAAGGACGCGCTGTGCTTGGTGCTGACCATCATGAACGGGGGCGACCTGAAGTTCCACATCTACAACATGGGCAACCCCGGCTTCGAGGAGGAGCGAGCCCGGTTCTACGCGGCCGAGATCCTGTGCGGCCTGGAAGACCTCCACCGCGAGCACACGGTCTACAGGTGAGCCACGCTGGCCCAGGCCGGGCCTACGCAGCACCCTGGCGTGCGTGTCACTGCCTCCTGGAGAAGGTGCTAGAGTCGGGCGGGAGCCCCCTGGAGGCGAGGAGGGCAGGCCACCCCGGGGAGGCGAAGCCTGTGGTGTGGCCAATACTCCCTCGAGGCTGGCACGATGGCTATGGCCACTGGCCCCACCTCCCGGCTCCCGGGGATGCCAAGCCGGGCCTGGGCCTGCCGTGTGGGACCAGCCTCGGGAAGGCTCACCGCCCACAGGCAGGCATCCACACGCACCTTAGCACCTCCCTCGCCACGCTCTCCTCAAAGATTTAGAAAAGCTCTGCGCTCCCATGTTGAGTAAGTAGATCCCTGACACAGCTCGCCATGTGCTTGTCAAGGTTAACAGCGATATTTTGCAGTTGAACCGTCCCATCACACAGTTAAAGGTATCCAGTGGAATCTAATTGCTGTAGCGAAACGATTTCTACCATCATCCCTCTAAAAAATGCATGAAAAGCTCTTAATGGTGAGGAATTTTCTATCATTTTCTTCTCCACTCTCCTCCTCCCACACAGAATGTTGTTATATTTTTTGCCCAGAAGATTTTCATTGATTCCGTTTTCAAATAAATATAGGGATTCGTATCATTTGGGGAATGTTTCCTCTGACCATTAAGCTCTAAAGGTTAAAATGATTTCTCCTGCCCCTTGCCATTGTAATTGTTATTTTTATCAGGACCCTGGAGCCAGGCGCCACATTCTGGGGTGGGGGGAGCCTGCTTTTCTCCTGTTGATTGGGGGGGAAGCTATTTAGAGAGAACAGGTGGAGGGGAGGTGCCTGAGGCTCCACGCCCAGGCATCATGACGCCAAGGCTCTAGAAATGTCCATCCTCGGACCAGCCCGTGGCCAGCACGTGGTCGCCTGCGCAGACCTGACACACCCCCCCCCCACCCGATCTGAGGCCTTTGCAGTGAGCTCTGGCAGAGCTCTCCGGAGAACCAACTTATGTTTTTGTTTTATTTTCATTCAAGTGAGAAGAGAAGAGAGTCAGAAATTTCCCTAAGGATTAAAAAAAGAATCCTCTATTCGATTGCCTTTCACTTAAAAAAATAAAATAAAAAAGGGGGGGCCCCTCCCAGTTCCAGCTCTAGGGAGGAAGAGAGCAGGGTGCCTGCCTGGCCCCTCCCCTCGCCATGGCCTCTCTGTGGGTTTGGGCTCTGGCCTGTGCCCACCGGCCAGCTGTCTTTCCAACCCTGTGGCCACGGGTTTATTGACATGATGGCTCCTGCCCTTATTTGGGATTGTTAACATATCAAAAGAATGCAAATTTAAAAACAGCAACAAAAGTATTTTGTAATAAATAACTACATTCAAACATCAATTATCACTCTGTGCGGTGCCTCCCCGGACTGGGGTACATGAGCCACTCCCCAGGAGGACAGCTGCCTTCAGTTACATACACAAAGCCAGTTGGTTGGGATGGAGCCGCGATCCAGATGCCCGGTGGTGTCTGCCGGGTGGCTCAGCCTGGTTGCGCACGCTGCCCCATTGGCTGTTCTTTGATCTGCGGAGAAGATCTTCCTAGTAGAACCAGACCCTTCTGCTGCCTCCCCGGGGAATGGAGAGGCGTATGATCCTGTCCTCAAAGAGAAGAGAGACCTGGGGCGGGGGTGGGGGTGGGGGGGTGTTGGCGGTGGCACCTCCTGCCAGGCTACTGGCTGGGCTTTCTTGCAGGCTGTAGCTCAGCCGAGTTGGGGGTGCCCATCCCAAAGGGGGTATTTCTCCTGGAGGTTGCCATCTTCTTCCTTCCAGCCTGATCCTACAGCTGATACTTGGTTCTAGTAGCTTCTTCATTGCTCTGCCTTCAGGGCAAGGGGCCTTCTGGGCCCCGGGGCCTTCTAGCCCCAAGGGTCTGTCAGCTCCCCAGCCAGTGGTCTCCTCCCCAGGGGTGTCATGTGGAGAGATGCCAGCACTGGCCTTCGCCTGACCTCCTGCCTGGTCACTCCCCAGGGTCGGGAAGATGCCTGTGGCCAACAGCAGCATTTGTTTTAAATTACTGGAAGCAGAGAAATTAGCCCAAGATTGTCTTGACCCAGGGACCAGGCAGCCTGAGCCAAGAGGTGGGAAGGAAACAGGCCTGCTTGGCCCGAGGGGTCGGCCCAGATGCCCCCCTCCCCCCATGCTCACTGGCCTCTGATCTTTCCCTTTCAGAGACTTGAAACCCGAAAACATCCTGTTGGATGACTACGGTAAGTTGGGGAGTCGCTGGGGTCCTTTCTGCTCTGAGGTGAGTGTCACGACCAGGAACAACCGATGGCCTCCAGAGACCCGGGGGCATTGGCCTGGGACCTGGGGCTGTGGGCAGGTGGGGTCCCTCCCTCTCCTCAGTAGAGAGGCCTTGGGGAAGGCATCATGGAAAAGAACCCAGGTGTGTGGCATGGAGAAGCCAGGTGTGTGGAGTGAGTGGAGCGCAGTGAGGGTGCAGGATTCCGGAGATGCTGGCCAAACACTTCACTTTCATGCAGCTTCTCACACCTCATTTTCCTTGTTTGTGAAATGGAAACAGGGGGTCCTGCCCGGCCTGCTTCGGAGGGTGGAGGGTGTTGGTGAAGCTCTGACAAGATAGCTTGAGGGCAAATTGCTTTGTTAACTGTGGCCAACTACAGATGTGCTGGGTGTTGGACCCATGGCTGTCACTGTCTCGTGTGTGCTGTGCATGTGTGCTCACTGCATGCTTGTGTGTGTGTGCATGTGCGTGTGTGCACAGCTAACAAGAAAAACCATGGTGACCCCTCCCGGCCTCTCACCCCCAGGAGGTGGTTTGCACATCTTTTCTCTCACCAGCTCTTCTGTCTCCACAGAGGTCAGGGCCGCCTTCCCCACACGCATTTTACAGATGACGGGCTGCAGGGTGGGCACATGCCCAGATCACCCTGCAGTGGGGACAGAAACCAGGAGCCGGTCCCCCTGCAGCCTGGCCATCACCAGGCAGCCCAGGCAGAGGGGAGGTGTAGGGGAGGCAGTCATTGGTGACCGGGGGAGAGGTTTGGGTGTCCGTGTCAGGCTCAGGCTAAGAACCCGGGCTTGCTGCCTGCTCTGACAGCCCCGGGGCCCACCACTGATCTGTTGCCCGGCAGCTGGAATCCTCATGCCCTGGTCCCATTCCTGCCATAGCCAGGGGATGCACACAGCTCCTGGCATCAGGGTTGCTGGATTCCAGGCTGTACAGCCCTGGGCAGGCCAGGAGGGGCAGTGTCCTCTCAGTTTTGGGGGGCCTGTCCTGGTTGGAAGCTCCACTTCCGCCCCCTGGTCTCCGTGGGGCCCCATGTCTGCGCTTCTCCTTGTTTCAAAGGGAGAACAACCTCTGAAGACCAACAAGGCCGGCCAGGGAGCTGCTTCCCAAAGCGCTTAGAGTTTTCCCCTTAAGCAGATTGTTGCAAATTGTCTGGAGAGTCTCACATTGTTTCCCATGAAGCAACCCCACATCTCGGCCAAGGGCTTTAAACTTCATGACCGTGTCCTCCAAGAAGATAGCCCATTAGGTCATTTATGAGGCAGGTCAGCCACTGTCCAGCCAAACCCACTTCCTTTTGCCTCTTTTATGTTTTTCTCCTACAAAGTGACCTATTAGGCCCTCCTGCCCCCGGGCTCCCCCAGGGGTCTAGCAGTCTCCCTGAGAAGGTAGATTGGGGTTTCACTATTCCTGAGACAGATGAAAATGCCGAGAAGCTGTGTACTTGTCCAGGGGTGCCCAGCAGGTCTGTGACCTGGCCTGGGGGGCTGTTGTCCACTTGACAAGGACCCCCTGACCTGCTCTCCCCCCTCAGGCCACATTAGGATCTCGGACCTGGGCCTGGCCGTGAAGATCCCTGAGGGAGATCTGATCCGCGGCCGGGTGGGCACCGTCGGCTACATGGGTAAGTGTGGATGTGAACCCCCAGCCCTTGGGGGGGTGACTCCAGGGTGTGACTTGACTAAAGCAAATCCTCTCACCACCACCCCCACCCTCCGACCCTCATGTCAAAGCCAAGCCACTCCTGAACTCTCTGAACAGGGCTGCAAGCACTATTGAAGGTGAACAGGGGTCCGGTGGGCTAGTGGACTCCTGGAGACCCCGGGAGGAGGGAGGTATTAGGAAGGGCCCAGAAAGGACAGCAGAGTACCTGCTGCTTCACCAGAGGATTTTAGGTGGAGACAGGCTTTGAGCACCCCCCCCCCCGACTCCCCTGGGTCTACCCTGAGACCTCCGTCCTGGGGGAGCAACACCTGGTTCCTGGAATCCCCCTTCCAAGTAGGGACGTCCCATGGGTTCCTCCTGCACGCTCACACACACGTGCCCACTGCCTCTGGAGGCAGAGGACCCCGCAAGCTCTGGGGGCCGGGGACACTGTTGCCTCTGCTGGGCCCTTGCCAACGACACGTGAACAGGATTCTGTGTGTTGTCCTTGGTGCTGAGAGGAGCCTTTACAGATTGCATGACCTGGGAACCTGTGAGGTGTGTGGCCACGTGGGTGTGAGTGTGTATATCCATTTGAGTGCTGATGGATAGATGGTGCATAGATGGAGAGAGAGGATTGTTAATAAGATACTGATAGATGATAAAGCATTGATGGGTGGATGGATGGATGACTAGAGAGATAGTAGGTAGATGACTGACACCTGCTAGATGAATGAGTGGTTAGGCAGATGGATGGACAGGTGGGTGAATAAATACATGGGTGGATGATGGATAATTGACAGGTGGTTAGGTGGGTGGAGAGGTAGATAGGTTGTGGATAATAGCTAACAGGTGGATGGGTGAATGGATGGGTGGGTGGATGGGTGGGTGGATGGGTGGACGGACAGGTGGGTGGATGGGTGGACAGACAGGTGGGTGGATGGACAGAAGGGTAAATGGGTAGATGGACAGGTGGAGGGTGGATGGATAGGTTGAGGCGTGGATGGATGGATGGATGGATGCACAGGTATGTCGATGGATAATAGTTAACAGGTAGTGGATGGATGGGTCGGTGATGGATGTGCTGAGCCTCTGTGTGCATCTGCATGGGTCTCCTCTGCGCGGTGCTGTATGAATCTGTCTGCAGGGCTTTGTGGCCTGCACACCAGCCATGTGGCTGCATTGCCTCTGATGTGTGTGGCCTGCCTGATGACATGGAAGTATCTTTCTTGCATTTCTGTGGTGACTCTATGATTCATTTTACCAAAGTTGTGGGGAAACCATAGTGAGAGGCAGTTTGAATTCCAGATAAATTTAAAAGCATCTTTAATTTAGGCAGACATGCCTTCAGTCACTGAAGTGAGTGTGTGTGTGTGGCACCTACTGTGTGTCTGCTGTCATAGTGATTGTTGAGGATGCAGCAGTGAATAAGGCTGCTTCTGTTTTGGTGGGAGAGATGTCAAGGGAACAGGCTATTTCCACTCACCCTCGTCAGCTCCCCGAAGGACCAGAGAGGAGAGCAATCAGGGCAGGCTCCCTGCAGGAGGTGGTATTCAGGGCAGCTGGTAGGTAGGAGTCAGCAGGGGGAAGAGTCTCCCAGTCGTGAAACCACTGGCCTTCTGTGAGCAGCACCATCACCCTGGGAGCAGGAGGCCGAGGCGTGTGCCAGGCTCTGCCCGGCACCCACTGTCTCTCACCTGCCCTCACCCCCTCCTCTCCCTAGCTCCGGAGGTCCTGAACAACCAGAGGTACGGCCTGAGCCCTGACTACTGGGGTCTGGGCTGCCTCATCTACGAGATGATCGAGGGCCAGTCGCCGTTCCGCGGCCGCAAAGAGAAGGTGAAGCGGGAGGAGGTGGATCGCCGGGTCCTGGAGACGGAGGAGGCGTACTCCCCCAAGTTCTCCGAGGAGGCCAAGTCCATCTGCAAAATGGTGAGTCCTGGGCGCCGGCCGCTGCCCCGGGCGACGCCCTTCCTGCTCCCAGAACAGCAAACGGTTCGGAGAGGACGCGGTCCCGATGCGCTCGGGTGTGGGTGCCGAAGCCACCGAACCAGGGGAGCAGAGCCTGGCGGTGGAGGGGGTGGTCGGTGTGGTCTCCAGGAGAAAACCTGGAGGTGGGGGACAGGAAGCCTGACAAGGGGAACTGTTGGAGACACCCTCACACCCAGCTTTGCTGGGGGGCATCAGCTGGCAGCGGAGGAAAGCGAAGATTCCACCTGCAGCCCAAATACAATGGAAGGGATCTTGGGCAAGCCCCTACCCTTGACCTTGGCCCCTGTCCCCTTAGACTCTGGATCCCCAGGCACCAGCTTGGGGGCAGCAGGTGGCAGGTGGTGGTGTTTTTGGTCTCTGGACATCTGATAACACTAAGTGGGAGCAGTAGCTGGGGCCCTCCAAGGCTACCCTTCTCAGCCGGGGCGCCCCACCCAGGCCAGGCCTTGTGGGGGGTGGGCACTGGCCCTCAGCCTCCCAAGTCCTGCTTGGGCCCCAGGGCACTGCTCCCTTCAAGGCCGGGCACAAATGTGCTGGCCTCAGCACACCCTGCAGCTGCCCTCAGATGCCCGCCGCCTGGGGCAGGAGGGGCTTGAGCACCCACCACACGCCCTTGTGAGCCCGCAGGCTCCCCCCACCCCAGGCCCTGCTGCTCTGCAGCAGCCACTGCCCAGGCCAGCAATGCCTCCCGCCCCTAGGCCCGCTGGGCTGGAGCTCAAAGAACAGGCCTGGGGGCTGATTAAAAGCAGCGAAGCTTCTGCTTCCAGAAACCCCGAGGCTGCACTCTAGGGGCCCAGGACCCACCCCCAGGAGTCTCTCTCGAGCTGCTCCTGTACTTCCTCCCGCCAGCTTCAGTCTGGTGTCACAGGGCCACGGGAAAGAGGCTTTGGGCTCGAGCTGCCACCTGACTAGTTCCCAAGGCAGAAGGACCATGGCTGTGGTGTTTGCGTGGGGAGGGGCGCTGAGGGAGCGATGCGAGGCCCCGGCCAGCCGCGCGGTGGCCAGTGTTTACAACCCCGGAGGCCCACGAGAGCCCAGCGGCCAGGGCTGGGGCTGGGAACAGGCGGAGCAAGGGAGCACAGTCTGGTACGCGGGAATCTTGGTTGCGCTTGTGTCTAGGTGAGGCATCCGTAGAGTGGGGCCAGATGGCAAGGGGTAGGGAGGTGAGAGCAGGTGAGGGTCGGGGATTCAGAGGTGCCGGACTTGAGAGCCCTTCACGAGGAGATGAGACCTGCCCAGTGGACAGTGGCCGAGGGTCCTCCCTGCCCGGCGGCCTCCACCAGGACCCAGGCGCGTCTTTCCCTCTGCTGCCCCCTGGTGGCCACCGGGGGAAAGGCGTGGCCAGTTCTGGGCTCCCGGGGGATCTGGCCTGGGGTACAAAGTGTCAGTCCCACCTTCCCTCATCTTCTTCCCCTGGCTGACCAGCCAGAGGCCTCTGGCCTTGCTCGGTCTTCTTACCAATTACCTGGGGTTTGGGGGATTCTAGCCTTAGGCTTTCTCTGTGCGCCTAACCACAGCCCATCTGGTCGGGCAGCCAGGCTTGCCCTATGCCCCACAATGGGTGTCAGCTCAGGGCACCGCTGGCCCTGTCAGGCATCCACGGAGGCTCTGGGTGCCCCATGAGGTTTCTAGGTTCTGGCAGCCCCAGCCCTGCCTGCTTAAGAAGGCCACCCCACAAGCAGCACCCCTGGGTGCTCTTCCTCCTTCCACGATGGTAGTTACGGATCCTCTCCATGGTCCCTGACCTTGGTTCCACCTCTCACAGGAATCTGTTCCTATCCCCAGCGCCCTCACTCTGGCCCTTCAGTCACCTGCATCTCATCTGTCCTTTCAGCTCGTTGCCAGCCTCCTCCTCCAGGAAGCCCACCCTTCCTGCTCCACTAGCCCCCATCACACCTGCTCTCGCTTCTCTTGGCGTGTACCTCACCTCACCGCCGCGCGTAGTAGTGTTTAGTTCAGCCTGCACAGAAACAGGTGAATGCTGGATTCACGGCCAAGATTTAACATGGGAGAGATGTCCCGTAAGCCTGGATTTTCTGGCTTCTCTTGAAGAAAACAGAAGTCCTGGGCACTGGCCGACATTCCTGCCTGGAGGGAACTGATAAGCAGCCAGTACAGCCCGCCCTGCCCATCCCGGCCTCTGTCGCCTGGTTTAGACCATTGTTGGCCAGGCCCTGCGGGCTTCGGGTCATTGTTGGCCAGGCCCTGCGGGCTTCGGGTCGGCGGCGGAGGCTCAGCCCCCACCTGAGGAGCTTGCTGGGACAGGGAGGGGCCTGGGCCCAGCAGAGCCCAGTTCTTCTGTAGAAAGGCAAAGCCTGGAGAAGAGCTGCAGAGGCCACTGGGTAAAAGAAGCCAGGCAGGGGTGGGCAGTGGGCCAAGGGGACATCGTGAGGACTGACCCCACGGCTGTGGCCTGGTGCTTGCCCTCCCTTTGGTTCCTTTGTTGCAAGGGAGTCCCCCCGAGGCGTCTGCCTGCCTGGATCTTAGTCTCTCAGCAAATGCTCAGTAGATCCCAGCACGTAGGCTGTTGGTGCTGGGGGTGGGGGTGGGGGTGGGGGCGGGCCACACGCAGGGACCCGCACTGCGTGGTCATTTGGCTGCCCTCCCCCGTTCAGCCGGCCTGGCCCTCGCCTCTCTTCACACCTCCATCCCCGCCTCTCCTCACCCTCCGCGAACCTTCTTCCCTCTTGGTTCTGAGGACGCTTCTCTCCACCACGTGCCTCCCCCCGCCCGCTCCATGTTCTGGCCTGGCTTCGGCCCCTCTGCTTCTCTCCCTGACCGACCCCGACACCCTCACCCATAACTGGGTGCTCCCCATATAAGCCCTGGGTGTCCCTGCTGCCTCCCCGTGCCCCCTGATGAAAGCCTCTCCCCTAGAAGCCTCCCCCTCCCCTGCCCTCCCTCCCCTCGCCCCCTGCAGGGCAGCCACGAGTCCCTGCCCCGCGCCCCCTGTCTGTGTGGCCTCGAGGGCCGGAGGTGATCTCTGTGGGTGCAGGTCCCGAGTCCTGAGGGTCGAGTCAGCGAGGAGACCTGCAGTTACAGTTTCGCCCATCGGTGCCTCCTTGTAGCAGAAGAGAGAACACCAGATTCCCAAGCGGGGGGAAGCTCAGTGGGTCCCAGACCCTGGGCTCACAGCCCTGGGGAGACACAGGGCCCCCGTTCCCCTGGGAGCCCTGGGCACTTGGGCACAGGGTGACTGCGGGACCACAAAGCCCACAGTGGCTCTGGGGGTGCCCCTGACACAGCCTGAGCAGAGGGGTGGCAGAGGGGCCGGGGGCTGCAGGCGTGTCGGGGCTCCCGACACCCGTGTGGCAGGTTGAACACAGGCTCCCCGAAGCCCCTCTGCCTCCCGCGTCCAGGCAGCAGGAGCGGCTGGGCAGCTGAGGCTCATGGGGTCTCCCTGTCACAGCTGCTCACCAAAGACGCGAAGCAGAGGCTGGGCTGCCAGGAGGAGGGGGCCGCGGAGGTCAAGAGACACCCCTTCTTCAGGAATATGAACTTCAAGCGCTTGGAAGCCGGGATGATGGACCCGCCCTTCGTTCCAGATGTGAGGACCCCCCACCCAGCCCCGTCTGCCCTGTTGAGCCTGGTGGATGACCTTGAGCTTAGGAAGGTCCTCGTGGGCCCTGACCCAGGGGCGGAGACTGTGGGCAGTGACAGGACATGTCACCAGGCCCGGGGGGCTCTCTGCTTCCAGTTTGGAGTCACCTCCCCTGCCCCCCAGGCTCCCTGAGCTCCTGGGAGTCTCCCCCACTGCCCTGGAACTCCTGAAGGGCAGGGCTGGCTGGGTGTTCTCTCTGTGCCCCCAGAGCGTGTTCGAGCTGGAAGGGATCACCCACATAACAGCAGGGGCTCGTGGCTGCGGTGGCCGCCTGGCCCAGGGTTCGCTCCATCTGCAAGTGACTTTTCCAGGGCCCTGCGCCTCCCCGCTGGGCCCCTGGCCTTGGCTGGCTGGCGGCAGAGCCTGGGTGCTAAACCCCCAGTCCCCGGATCCCTGTCGTGGGCGAAGGGGCCGGAGGTACCCCCCCAGAGCCAGCCGAGCGCCTCCTGGGATGTCTCCTGGGCTGCATGTCCCCGGGGGTCCCTCCGGGCCTGCCCTGGGGCCCAGGTTCATTCTCAACATGGGGGAGTGGACCGGGGGCCGCACCTCCAACCTCCTCCTACGGGGCGGTGTGGGGGCCTTTCTCCCTCCTGATCCAGTAGACTGTAGAGTATGTGGTGGGGCAGTGTGGTCCCCAGAGGTTCTGGGGTGCAGGAGTCGGGGCAGAGACCATCCCAGGTCCAACCTGGGGGCGTGTGTGGGGCAACGCCCCCCCCAGAGCACTCGTCTTACCCCGGCTGGGCCCCCTCGGCACATCCAAGAGAGGGCGCAGGGGTTCTAGTGCAGGGTGGCTGGGGGGCTCGGGAAGACACCCCCTGCTCTCCTGTCCACCCCGCAGCCCCGGGCCGTGTACTGCAAGGACGTGCTGGACATAGAGCAGTTCTCCACCGTCAAGGGCGTCAACCTGGACCACACCGACGACGACTTCTACTCCAAGTTCTCCACGGGCTCCGTGCCCATCCCCTGGCAAAGCGAGGTGAGCCGGCGGGCGGCCGCAGTCAGGAGGCAGGGCCTGATGGGCCGGCCCCATGTGGCCAGGCTGCCAGGGCCGAGAGGGGCCAGGAGGCGCCAGACAGGCCTCCCTGGGAAGACCCTGAGAGCTGGGGCGGCGGCTGAGTTGGGGAGTCAGAGCTGGAGCCGGTGGAATGGAAATGCAGGGCTGAACCAGGAGGGCCTGGGGCATGTCAGTGCAGGGCTTGCGTGGGGCCGGGGGTGCAGGGGTGCAATGCCAGGGGTGGGTTTGGCTGCTGTGACATGAACCCACCCCCTTGGACAGAGTGTCTCCTCCGTGGAGCTGGAGGGTGGAGAGAGGCAGCCGGTGGGGTGTCGGGCCTCGGGCCCGGGGGACAGAGGGCGGGTGGAGGACCTGGTCACACCAGCTCATCGCTGGGGTCGCTTTCCCTGGGAGGCGATGGCACGGCCCCTCACGCTGCCCCCCGCCGTGTCTCTGCATCCCTTCTCCAGATGATAGAGACAGAATGCTTCAAGGAGCTGAACATGTTTGGACCCAACGGTACCCTCTCGCCGGACCTGAACAGAAGTCACCCGCCGGAACCGCCGAAGAAAGGGCTGCTGCAGAGACTCTTCAAGCGTCAGGTGAGACCCGCCGTCCTGCCAGCTGCCCTGGCCTCAGCTCCAGGGACCGCGGGCCCAGCACCGCACTCAGCTGGGACCAGAGCAGCAGAGCTCGACCTCCTTGTGGGGCTCGGGCCTGGGGGCAGCAGCTGGAAGGGACAGCGCCTGTGAGACACGCCCTGAGCCCGCTGGCCGGTGGCACCCCTGGGCAGGAGGGAGGCCCGCGGAGCTTGCCCTGGATCAGGCTTCTTGGCCTTGCCCTGCGGTGGTTTGGGGTTTCTGAGTGGTGGGGGCCGTCCTGTGCACTTGTGGGGGAGGTGGAGCACCGTCCCCGGCTGCCCCACACCCCCTCCTGTGAGTCAGACATGTCTCCAGACATGGACCCTTGTCCCCTGTCTGAGCGCCTCTGCCTCGCAGGCCACCGTAAAGACTCAGGTGGTGCAGGTAAAGATGTAAGGTAATAAGCTGGCTCCTGGCCTGCGGCCCTCCCGTGGTGCCGTGCCCCCTGGCCCGCCGCCGCTGGCCCTGCAGAAAGGTTTGCTTCTCAGAGCCTGTCCCGATGAAGGGCGTGGCCCAGTGAAAGAGGCGCTGGAAGGCAGGCCCGCCAAGAGTGGGGCCACAGGGATCCCTCACCCCTCCCTCACCCTCCCTCACTCTCCCACCTCGAAGGTGGCCCTACAGCGCCCCCTCCCGGCCTGCCCTTCCGGAAGCCGCGGCCATGGGGTTCCCAGCCCAGAGCCTGGGAGACTGTCCGGGAAGTTCCTCCTTCCTCAAGGCGGAGCAGGACAGGCAGGAACAGGGGCTGCTCGGCCCTGAGTGGAGTCCCAGCTCCTCCCTCTCTGATAACAGGGATAAAAGGGGTTGGCCTTGGTGCTCTGAGATGCTTTTTTTGGGTATGTCTTATTTAATCTCCACAAAATCCTGGGCCTTCACTCACCGACATATGTTGAGTGTCCACTGTGTGCCCGCCTGTTCTCGAAGCACTTGAGATGCCTCATCAAACCAAGCCGGACCCTCCTTCTGGGCTCGTAGTGTTTAAGGAAACGGAGGCTGAGGGGGGTGAGGGACCTTGCCCAAGGTGAGCCCCACACAGGATCTGGGAGAACAGGATGGGGAACCGGGATCAGGCACATGGACAGGAAATGCAGACTGAGGCCCACATTTGCGGTTTTCTCTAAAAGTCTCCATCTAGGTTTCACATCCTATTCCGTAATAGACTCATGTTCACGTTCTTTAAAAATATTTTTAAATGCTTCCCCAAGTGCAATTGAAGTTCCAGCAAGAAAGGGCTTCTCCCCTCCCCGCCTGGCCTGAATCCCCAGAACAGCCCGAGTTCAGATCCAGCCCTGAAGCTTGTCAGTCGTGTGGCCGCTTGCTGAGCCCCTCTCAGCCTCGGCTGCCCACCTGAAAGACAGGATGGACACAGCTGCTGTCCAGAGCTGGTGCGAGGACCCAGGAGGGGAGTTCATGCCGGCACCACCTCCCCCAAGGGAGCAGTGGATCGCCTCCCCCGCCTCCTGTGTGGTGATGGGCCCAGTGCCCCCCGGGTGCCAGGAGGAGCTGGCAGCACTTCACACAAGCAGCCGTTGTCCTCCTAACACGCGCACATGAGTGCTGTAGCTCACGTTCCCGGCCGCGCCAGAGCTGCTAGGAACCAGGTCACTCGGCCAAGGAAGGGGTGGCAGGTTAGGATAGAGACCTGAGCCTGCAGAGGTAGTCAGTGTAGACATTACAGGAGGGGCCGCCTCCTTCCTGCCTGTGGTGGTGCGGGGGGGTCTTTTAACTCCATCGCTCTGGCAGGCACCCAGGGGTGGCCTGTGAGGTCTGCAGGGGGAGAATGCAAAAGGCAGTGCAAAGCAAGAGGAGGAGGTCAGCAGCCCCCGCCGTCTTTGGAGGCCCCGTGACAGGCCCTGCCTGACGCGAGGACTCACTTGCTTTCTCTTCATCTCTCTCTCTCCCTCCGCTCGCCTCACGGCCCGGCCCCCAGCATCAGAACAACTCCAAAAGTTCGCCCAATTCCAAGACCAATTTTAACCACCACATCAATTCAAACCATGTCAATTCAAACTCCACCGGAAGCAGCTAGTTTCAGCTCTGGCCTGGACGTCCACGGCAGGAGCAGCCCAGGCCCGTCCCCGGGCGGCGGAAGGTGACCAGGGGCTCGGCAGGAGGACGAGTCCCCCGGGGGGGCCGGGAAGGAGGCGCCCCCCCCCCCACCCACATCGGGCCTCGGGTTTCTCAAAGAGATTTCCACTCAGGTCAGTTTTCAGAGGCGGCCGTCAAGCCAGGTGGACCGGATTTGTCTCTGCGGAACCTTGCAATAGAAATCCAGTCGGATACGACAACTTGCACGTATTTTCATAGCGTCCTAACTAGAACTGAATTTTGTCTTTATTATTTTTAAAGAAAAGTTTTGTAAATTTCTCTATTGTCTCCGTTTACATTTTGTATATTTGTATTTAAATGAAAGTCAGACGTTGAGGGTGTATATTTTCTGTGCAGCCACTGTTAAGCCATGTGTTCTCAGACATCGGGGGGAGCAGGGGCGGGGGATTTACACAGGAAAAAAAAATGTGACTCAAGCCTTCCAGAGCCTCCAATGAGAAAACGTTTTTATTAAATGTAGACAATGATTCACCTTCCACCTTGAAGGACTGGTCGCGTCCATCCCTACCCCTGTCCTGGGCGCGGGTAACCCCAGGCACCCGGCTTGGACTTCACCCCCAGCCAGGGCGCCCCTGCGGGGCCGCTGTGCGCAAGGGGGTGCTCCTCCTTTAGGGGCCGCTATGCTCTTGGCCGCCTCCTGCTCTGGAGGCGGCTGGTGCTTGGCGCTGGGTACCGGGCGTCATCGGTCTCCCCCTTTCTCGGCAGGGGCTCGCTGCCAGAGCTGGTCTGTTTTCCAGAGACTTGTTGGGAGGAGTTTTTGTTTAATTCTGATTTTGAGACAAGTACAGCAAGGATAACAGGTCATCGCGGAGCCCCGAGTGTCCCAAACCCCAACAGCCTGTAGAAGCATCAGGAAAGATCCCAGGGGAGTCCAGGATGAGTCTGTGCTGGGGGCCGGTGGGTGCACAGGGTCACGGGCCCGAGAACTTCGCGAGGCCCCACAGATGCCCGGGCCTGATGGCACGGATCAGGTTGGCTCTCTAAGCAGCTGGGATGCCCCAGGAGAGGCTGGGCCCCCAAAGAAGCTCAAGACTAACTCACTGTCGCTTCCCAGGAGAGCTGCGGCAGACGAGCTCTCCTTGGACATCTCAGTTTCCAGCACCCATAGCCCTGGGGGCGGGGGGGGCCTGCTGGCTACATCAGGCCAGGGGCTCTGAAGGCACCCCTGGGCCGGTTGAGCCCGGCCACCTGCTTCCAGGGAGCCTCGGCCTCCCCCGCTGCCTCCACAAGGGGGTCAAGGCCCTTGCCGCCCCTCTGGGACAGGGGGAGCCTGTGACCTCCCTACTCCCCTGCCTGGCCGGGTCAGCCGGGTCAACCGGAGTCTCAGCCACCCTAGGGTGGGTCCCATACCACCCACATCACCAGCTCCTGTTAAAATGCAGACTCCCAGGCTCCACCCCAAACCCAGAGAGCAGGAGTCTCTAGGAGCAGGGCCCTGGAATCTGCGGCTTTAGAAAGCTCGGAGGACCAGAGCGTGAAACCACTGCCCTGGGCCAGGAGGAGGGGCGTGCTCCGGGTGTCATGTCCCAAAGGTGTTTCTCCAGGTGAACCCCCAGCAGCTTTGGAGCCAGAGAGAGACGCGGACATGTCAACTTTGCGTCCCCCAAACCTTGCTGATGGGTCCCCCAAACCTTGCTGATGGGTCCCGGGCATGTGGCTCGCTGGCCTTCAGGGCCCGCCATCTTGAGGTCCTTTTACAAACAGACCGGAGAGAAGAGACAGTGGGGCTTGCCCCCTTCCCTGCCGCGCACCGGATCTTCTCCAGACCAGCTCCTGCCTCCCGCGCTGCTGCCGTTACCAACAAGCGGGATGAATACAACCAGCCACACGCTGTTGCTGCCAAGGAAGCCGAAAGCTCTTTGACCAACATTTCAAGGCCCTCCCGCTCCTGCTCACCGCCCTTTTTCCAAAAGGATGTCATCGTCCTGGGACAGCCACGGCCTGCGCCAACCCCATCTGTCCAGAAGTTTCCTTCATTTTGCCCACATGGCAGCACCCCCGCCTCGCCGAGTGGACTGGGATTGAGAAGCCGGCGCCTCGAGGCCCGCCCCGCCAGCCCGCGTGCAAGAGAGACTCTCCGAGGAGTGAGACGGGCGGCTGGGATCCGCGTGGCGTGTCCTACCCGGGTGCGGAGCCCCAGGGCTCGAGGACTCGGCCCGAGTCACAGCCTTCCCGGCCCCTTCCTACGGCCGAGGCCGGCGCGAGGGGAAGTCACGGCACAGTGTGGCCACCAGCCCCCGCCGCGCCCGCCGTCCAGGCCGGGTCTCCCCCGTCCTCGAGTTTGTTTTCTGTAACTACACGTTTTAAAAGATATTTTTAAATTAAAGCAAAAACCACCTTCTCACCCACCCACCTGTGTACCTGAGGCCTGTCGGCCGTGGATGGGTAGAACCTTCTGCCCTCTGTGCGCCTCCCGGAGGCCCGGCCTGCTCTCGGGGTGCTCGCGGGCCCCACGCCTTCGGGGTGAGATGCGGCTCCCGCTGCAGCGCCTCTGCCTCCCCTGTGCCGGAGACACGCTGCTGCCCCGGTGCCCTCTGCCTCGGTCGCCGCAGCCAGCGGGCGTGCCTGGAGCCCGGGGGCCCCGCCATGACCGTCCTGTCCAGAAGACATGGCGCCCACGCCGCAGCCTCTCACCCCTTAAGCCAGGAGGCTCAGGGGCCGCTGGCCAGCGCCGTGGCTCAGCGTGGGCAGCCTGGGTCCGCCTGGCGCTGCTCTCTGGGGGAGGCTGAGCTTCCCGGAGAAGCGTGTGGTCGGGTGGTCCGCACTCAGGACAGGCAGCCGACGTGGGCAGCGAGTCTTGGGGGGTGGGGTGTGGAGTCCGCCATGCCTCTGAGGACACATGAGGGATGCGGCCGCCAGCCTGTGAGCTTAGCAAGCCCTGAGGAGGCCGAGGACCCGCCCGCCCGAGCTGGGGATCCCCAGCCTCTCCCCAGAGCCTGGCCCCCTGGGAAGCTTGTCTTACCCTCCACAGCTGCCCTCTCCAAGGGGCTCGGCCCATGGGTTTGTTTGCTGCAGGGGCTGCTGCCCAGGCCTCCGTGCGGAGGGCGCACCCCAGCCTTGCCCCAGGGAACAGCGACCTCCTGCACGGGAACCCGGGTCAGGGTGCGGGGGCGCCAGAGCGTGTGGTCCCTTCTGAGGACACGCCCTCTTCTCATGACCCCCCACTCGAGACAGGACCTGCTCCTGCCGGCCGTGGTTCTGGAAAGTGAAATCTGTGCGCTGGGAAGCACCGCAGCTGCGGCATGAGCCATGGGGCCGGCTGCTCTCCCGCCCCAGCTGACCGTCGTGGGGCAGCCTCGTCCCCGGCTCCCGCTCCTGCTCGGACTCCCACCCAGCCCCGAGGCGGGGCAGACCGTGCCCAGGCCCAAGGCTCTCTCTGCTCAGACCTCACAGCCTGCCCCTGAGGACTGTGTTCCAACATCTGCCAAGCCTGTGCTCCCGAGGAGGGAGGGACTCCCCTGAAAGAAGAATCTAAATGTCTTCCCCCGCCCGCCGATAACTTGTTTCGGTAACAAATCAAAAGCAAAGGTTCTCCATGAGGAGAGCTTCGTGGCTGTGGGTAGCGTGACAATAATAGCCCTTCTAGTATCCAAAGGTTTCTATTTTTTTCAGGGAAATTTTAACTTTGATGAATGAAAATAGTTCCATCTCGGAGGTCGCCCCTGAGGCGACAGCTTCTGTTCTCTGCTGCTCTGAATCTTTGTACGTTCCGTCCGACTGTCACAGTGCTGCTGTATCTAGAGCCAACCACTGTTGTTTTTTTAAGAGAAATAAATTCCTTAAAGAAAAGAACGTTGCGTCTCTTTCCTTCTGCTGACCTCTTCTTCTGGTCCTTCTGCCCGTGACAGTCGCCCCCCGTGACTGCCACAGCCTTTGCTGAGCCCTGTCCTCCAAGGGAGGCCTCGGCGCCCCCTGCACGTGCCCACCTCAGCCCACCCCGGCCCACCTGGCCCCTGGAGCCACCCACAGACGGCCCAGCTGAAGGCACCACCCCAGCCCGCTCCAGAGCCTTTGACTGATTCCAAACCCAGCAGATGGCCCCTAACAGGGTGGGGGGAGGGTGATTTGGGGGGTTACCCAGGGGCCTGAGCCCCTCTACCTGCGTGCCTTACCCCACAGAGGCCCTACCTCGGACGTGGGCTCTACAGTGGGGCCTTTGGCTGATCACATGCCCTGGAAGTGGGCAGGACAGTCCAGGGTCTCAGTCCCAGTCAAAGACCCACAAGCTCCTTCTCCCCCCACCTGCTGGGCTTTGTGTAGAACGTGCTGGGCTCTGTACTCAACCCCTGCCATCCATGACCTTGAACAGCACTAACCCTGACCTCAGTGAAGTGGGGTAACTCCTGCACATCTCTGAACCCCACTTGATTCTTGACCTCGTGTAGGATAAATGAGGTTGGTCAGGCCTTTGTGCCATTGGCCTCTGTGGCTTTCACCTGCGGCCTTGATCTTGTTCATGTAGAAGGCGCGTGGGTGTGGGGCATGCGTACCTGACTATGGACTCCTGAGCATGGGTGTGTGTGCGTGTGTGTAAAGGCAGGACAGGACACAGTACAGGTTTTCTGATCCCATGCAGACCAGGTAAAGGAGGAGTCAGAGTCCTCAGTGGTTTTTTGCAGGTCTTTTATTGGGGTTCACCAGGCATATGGCAGGCAGGGGTGCTGGGGGGCCAGAAGGCTGGCAGGCCTCCCAGCCCCCAGCAAATTCTCACTCTATCTGGGCTCTCTGGCGTTTTCTGCTTCTGCTTTGGGCTTCTTCTCTTTTGGCTTCTTCTGGTGTCCCCGTGACGCCGCCCTTAAAGGCACAGTCTTAGCGCAGGTGTACCCACTTCAGGTGCCCGCCATCAGGCATGCATTCAGGACCACAGGGTTCCCTCATCTATCCTGATGGCGGGAGGGCAGAAAAGCCTGATACCTTTTACCTTACCATACAGTGTGCAAGTGTGCACACCTGTGCCTAGGAGGGAAGGAATAAAGGGCAGGTCACCCTGGAGAAGGGGGCTTGGGAGCAACAGAGAAGCCAGAGCGCTCAAAAGTGCCTTGTCTTGCAGATTTGACCTTGGAAGCAGGTGTGTAGCGGCAGGAGGACACGGAGCAGGATCTCTAGGATCTGAGCAGACGGGGTAAAGGAGGAGAGAGTCCTCGAACCTCAGTGACTTTTCAGGCTTTTATTGGGATTTACCAGGCACACGGCAGGCACGGGTGCTGGGGGGCCGGGAGGCTGGCACCTCAGCCCCCAGCAAGTCTTCACTCTGTCTG